GAATAGTTACTTTGTCTCACTAGAAAAATGCCTCCCTAAGGGAGATTTACTCTTGAAAAGTGACCTATTGAAAAGTGTCAAAACATTTTGGAACTGTGTAATTATCAAAGTCCTGAAAGAAATATTTATTTTGGACTCAACAATAGCAATGCATTTGCTTTATTGGGTTATATAGTTGCCAAAATAAGCAAATTCTGAAGGTAGCAGATGGTTTGGTTATCAGATTAGTTTTATTTATTTATTTTTGATATGGTGGATTGAACTGGTACTTGATGACTTAGCCACATTCCCAGCTCTATTTTGTATTTTATTTATTTATTTATTTATTTGAGAGAGAGAGAGAGAGAGAGAGAGAGAGAGAGAGAGAATGAGAATTTTTTTTTAATATTCATTTTTAAGTTTTTGGCGGACACAACATCTTTGTTGGTATGTGGTGCTGAGGATCGAACCCGGGCTGCACGCATGCCAGGCGAGCGCGCTACCGCTTGAGCCACATCCCCAGCCCTTGTATTTTATTTAGAGACAAGTTCTCACTGAATTGCTTAGCGCCCTGCTTTTGCTGAGGCTAGCTTGGAATTTGCCCTCCTGTCTCAGTCTTGAACCTGCTGGGATTATAAGCATGTGCCACTGAGCCCGGCTCAGATTAGAGTTTGTTCACTTATAATTTCCATATTTTTAGATTGAATTTAGGTATTTTTAAAAAACCAGTTACTATTATCATTTACCTTTGTGTAACTTACCTTTCCCAAATTAAAAAATGAAAAGTTCAGTAGTTTCTTTTATAGGATTTATTCAGCAAAGGAGCTACTGAGCATGGCAAACTTCAGTGTTCCTCTAAAACATATAGACTACAGAATTAGGTATTTCTAGCTAGAAGTTTGAGTCAGATTAGCTGAAGACAAGCACTTAACTATGAAATAGTAATTTCCTGTTCTTTATACTGAAATAAGATTGAAAAATCGAATTTGGGATAGAATTTATGCATATGGTGGTTTTTAATCAGAAAGATTTTTCTTTGTTGTAGACCAGTATCTCAATTTAAGACAAAAAAAATTCTTGATTATGTATATTTTAAGTGTATACTTGATCTATTTTTTATGTTACAGAAACATTTTTTGAAATTTGTTTTCTTACATGGATAGGTTTCTAGTACCACAACATACTGTCCTGTTCAATATTGTGTGTTAAAGTATTTTGGGAATGTATATTTATCTTCATAATCCTAAAAGAAATATTTATTTTCAACTCTAAATCAGATTTCTGTTACCTTTATGAACTGTTTCCAACTGTGTTGACTAAAACACTGATATTCTGTTAGATGGTAGTAAGTATTCTGTGAAAGAATTCCCTGCTAGTAATATCTTTTTTCTTAAAAAGTTTATTTAAAAAAAATGTGTAAGAAAAATTCCAAATATATTTAGGTGACTCTTCTCATGATATAGAAATCTAACTTGAAGAAATGGTGTGGCGTAGTGGAGAAGTCTAAGAGTTTATATTAGATATCATTTAGGGCATGAATGCATATTGTTTATTCTGTGACTAGATGTATAGGCAGCATTAATTTATTCACTGTCCTCTGTATTGTCTACTTTTCTTTCATCTGCTCTGTCTTGTCCTGTAATTTTATTATATATTTGTGACTTTGTTCAAATTTCCTGTCAGGTTGATTTTGATTTTTTTCCCTCTAGTATTGGGTATGAACCCAGGGTCTCATGCATGCTAGGCAAGAGCTCCACCATTGAGCTACATCCCAAGCCCCCTATCCTGTTGAGTTCTTTTTGTTGCCTAGTTGAATACAAATTCATCTTGTTCAATTTCTATTGATGTTTCATCAGTGTCATTTTAAAAGTGCTCTGTAGTCATCGAATTGGAAAAACCCAATATTGTGGTTTGGATCTTGAATGTTTCCCAAAAAGCCTATATGTTGAAGACTTGGTTGTAAGTCTGTGGTGCTTTTTGGAGGGAGGTGGTAGAACCTTTAAAAGTTGAAACCTTGTGGAAGGAAATTAGGTCATTGGGGACATGCCTTGAATGGGATATTGGGACTCTGACCCTTTCCTTTGTTTCACTTTCCAGCCCGCTATGCTACATGTTTCTGCCATGTTCCTCAGGCCACCCCAGGATCAAATCAACAGGACCAAATGCCGTAGACTTAAATCTCTAAAACTATGATCCAGAATTAAACCTTCCTCTTTATAAGTTGTTTATTTCAGGAGTTTTGTCCCAGTTATGAAAAACTGACTATCCCAGTGAAGTAACTTATGACTATTTTTCATATACTTAAAAACTACAGCCTCAGTTATGCACATTTCTAAAACTAGAAGGTTACTTAATTATTTTTCTTTTAATAAATCCCAAATACTCAGAAATACTTAGTCAATACTTGGAAACCAGACTCTGTAGTACAACAGAACACTCTGTAGTACAACAGAACACTCTGTAGTACAACAGTACACTCACACTGGTGAGTGACAGGATGGTCTCTTAGGCTGAGTGCTGCCTCACCACGGTTTCCTTCATGTGTAACTTGTGGTGCAGGCTACTGAAAACCACACTAATAAATGCTGAGTTTTAAAATTGACGTTCTAGAGATCAAATGTTGCAACTGATGACTTTGCCTAGTTCCCAGAATTTTAGCTCTACAAATAGATTTTTAATAAGTGAAGGTCAGAAAATAAAGCACTGTATTTTCTAATAGAAATAAGAGACTATTCTTAATTCTCTTTTGTGGTGAGGTTTCCAAACTTTGAAGTTCTAAGATCCCCCTTGATTACATATGTTAATTGTGTTTTGGGTCAAGGAACCATTCAGAAAGTTTGTTCTATAAATGATTGGTGGTTCAATGAAGGAAAGAACCCTTGCTGAAAATGCTGTTGAAGCATCAGGTAAATCCTCTCTGAGATTCTCTATCTACAGAATAAATAGGTATTGCTAAAAATAATTTCTATGACACTGTGTGCCAGGCACTGCATTAATTGTTTCACCTGAATTTTTTTGTAAAAAAAAAAAAACTGATTAGATTGTTTTGAAAGTTGATATTGTCATGTTGTTTTGTATTTGGAGTGTGAGCTGTTTGGGTTAAAAATCTTCATGCAAATTTCTACAAATAAATCAAGTGTGGATGTGCAGTGGGTGGTTTTTAAGCTTAAACATCTCAGCTGGATTTAATTACCTTAAGGGATAAGGCTACACGATGGGCCAGTGGTTTACCAAATTATTTTTCATTTTCTGGATCTTGATGTCACTGAAGGTTAATGCATCCTCTTTTCTTCATTGGAGACCTAAGTTAAAATCCATTTTAGGGCATAAGTGTAAATGAATTTGTTGTTTTTCCTCCTTGGAGATACTTTGGTCATTTTGTGAGGCTGCCTTTCCATTTGGAATTGCTGGCAGCTTGCACACGGCCCAGGGGCTCTTGTAGCAGGGGCAGTTGCAAGTCAGCGTGAAAATGAACTGGCAGGGCTTCAGAGGGCAGAGCTGGCCCAGGGCTTGTCACTCTTCCATTTGTTGATTCTTTCTTGCTTAACTTAAGCAAACTTATTTACTACTGACATTTGATTATAGCACATCACAAAACAAGTGATGTGTTTGTGGGAAAGCCATTGGATTTTTTTTTTTTCATTAACCGTTTCAGAATGGTTTATATTCGGCAGCTTTGCAGTTTTCTGTATTCACTGTCTGCAAACTCTAAGATGACTCCTTAAACTGCTGTACATCTGTGATCAACCTTTTTGATCATCAGTATGTTTTGGGGCTTTCATTGTTTATTGCTTTTGTATGAGTGTTTGATTTGGGAGGCATATTTGTATTTATAATTATGTTGAGTGGTTCCCTGTGAAGTGGGCAATGAGTAGTTGGTCCTTATTTCCTCTACCTATTAGAGTATGAAGAAGTAGAACCTAAGCAGGGAATAGTCACAGATCTTAGTCCTTCAAGGCGCTGGTGTGCTCTTCCCACTCCAAGCCCAGCTTGTCGTCATGTCATTTCTTTTCGAGTCTTCTTTTTAACATTCTTTATGTCTCCCTCATCATCCTTTTTTTTTTT